ACCGTAATCTGATATTGGATTGCGTCACCCCCCGATGCACGGTAATCTGTATCAAATTCCCCTATGTCCAGCAGTAACATTGAAAACAGGGGGGTCCACAAAGCAGGATTCCTGTTTAGTCGCATTTAAGGTAGCCTTAAATTTATCCTAGACTAGGATGACTAGATAATCCACGTCAGGGAGGACACTCTGAGCTAGGACAGGAATTGTAAATTGCCATTTCAATTAAAAGGACCTGGAATTCACTTGAGCACTGAGTTCTTGCTGTGTGCTGATTGGTCAGTCTCCTATAATCATGCATGTTTCACTAATGCTATGTTGTATGAGTCTTTCAGTCAAGGAAACAAACCAGTCAAAGCACAAGAACTGAACTATTTAGCCAAACACACTGTTCTAGTAGAGTTCTTTCAATTTGAAAGTAGTTTGTAAAACCCGAAGTAGCTCAAAGTGTCCTCCCTGACATGGACTATCTGGTCACCCTATCCTAGACTAACTCAAATCCAACAAGTTGTCCGGCTAAGCAAGAAATCCAGCTCCGTAGATCACTCCCAGGACTGTGTGGAGCACAGCTTCAACTTGAAGAACACTGTGGATTTCATGGGTGCCTAGGTTGTACTTATACGCCATCATCAACTACTGACTATGTTGGACTGCAATTTAATGATATAATTATGATTTATTAAGTAACATTTCTAAATTGTCACTAGTGGGGGACGTGTGTATATACTCCGTGATGGACTAGCTTCCCATCACGGTTGTACCCATGCCTGTCGCCAGACCTGGTTTACCATGGCAAGTGCCCCAGTTGATCTGCTGTGCTGTTCGAGTTTTTAACAAGCTCCTATATTTGGCAATGGATTAATTTAGATTCAATAATAATATGAAAAGTATGGATTTTTTTCAAAAACTGCAGGATACCGGCGCTCTATGAAATGGTCAGTAATTACTTAATTGCCATTAAAAATCAACAAATAATTAAATAATGAAAATGATCATTATATGACTCGCAAAATTTCATAATCTTTAAAAAATTCCACCCGAAGACGTATGCCAAAGGCCATATTCTTATGATTTCAAGTTCAGCAAACCAGCTACTTTGTGTGACAGAGGCAACGTATTAACTGCGCACTAGCAGCGAACTTGTGACACAGTAGTCTGCCCGTTCAGCATCACAGACACGGAAAAAATAAATCGATCAGCAAATTACCTTTAGTCGTTTTCATTTGCTTCACTGTTACCCACGACATTTGAAAAACCGTTATCCTCATAAGAACTATACAAACGAGAGGAGGCCATTCGGCCCATCGAGCTCGCTTGGAGAGAACTTAACTAATAGCGCAGAGTTGTTAAAATCTTATCCAGCTCTGATTTAAAGGAACCCAGGGATTCAGCTTGCACTACGTTATCAGGAAGACTATTCCATACTCCGACTACACGCTGTGTAAAAAAGTGCTTCCTTAAATCCAGTTCGAAATGTTCTCATAACGGACAGTGGGCAGTTCACAACCATTTTGCTTTCAACGTGTGCGTGTGACAGCCAGTAATATCAGTTCTCTTTATATATGCTTTTATACAAAGTTACTTCGCGTCACCGTATGCAGTGTACAGAATACAGCTGCACCAAGATGGCGGCCCAAGGCAGTACTATTTGTTCTAGTGCGCCTCTAGTGGTCAGGTGCTTTTACGGATCCGATTCGAGGACGCTGATTGGCTAACTATGTTGCTATGTGCATTTCTTGTGTCATTAATTTGCTCCGAATCTTTACAGTAGAGCCCAAGAAGAAATATTTGAATAAGACTAAGAGGGGGAAGAACATGAAGCCGATTTTACCCCAAACAATTTTAAAATATATATTACGTTATTATGCAGTTTCAACACATACACACTTAAATTATATAAAAATGTATTTTTTAGGGCGGCGCCCTAGCGCCCTCTATTGACTAGCCCCCATATGGAATCTTCAAGGTAATCACTTTGTAATTGTGCACTGTCAGTTTATTACAAGAGCCTTACTGTACATACATATTTTACAGTTATCACAAATATTGCAAAATTGAACTAAAGCTGTGGTAGCTTTCATTCTTGGCCTCATCTGAGGGTGTGCTGACTGGCATTTTCAGTTGTCTTCAGGACAGCTTCTTCTCAGCCTACAATGTATGTGATCTCTGCTGGAATGGAAAAAAAACAGTGCGAATATGACCGAAATTGTACAACAGCTCTGACTTCAGACTCTGGTTAAAATTAGGCAATGTGCTTGTGTCATTGTTGGAGGGACCATTAGAGCAAATTTTCATAACTGTCTCAGTCCATGGGATTAGTTTAGGAAGATTTCTGTGGACTTAGAATTTAGGAAATTTAAGTTCCTTGTTGGATTGTATGAGGACTGAGTGAGCTTTGGTTCCTTTAGGTCATTGCTGTTATCTCAAAAACAACAATAAAAGGATAGTTTTGGAAATTTGCTCTTTATATATTTTGGGCAGAATTGCCCATCCCTGGACCTTTCGTTCCTCAAAGTGAAATTTTAACAGACTAACTTTTGATTTCAGCCAGAGAACAAATCCTGAGGGGTCAAAAATAAAATAATTTTGTAGGTTGCACTTCATTTAGAAGTTGAATTAAGCTTAAATGAAACATTAAAACCCATTACAATTTTTTTTTTGCCAAGTAATGATGATATTACTAAGATACTGGAGAATTGCATTCAAAAAATATTTTTGACTGAAGAATGTGAGCTAAATAAGTTCAGCTTATGATTTATATAATGTAAATCAAATTAAAATGATGGAAAAAATAACTCCTACTCATAGTCAAAATATTCAGTCACGTATATTTACTGAACGATGTACTATAACAGTATGAGCTAAATGGACAAAACTCATCTCACCTTTTGGAAAGAATACAGGACATTAATCCCTGATCAGCTATCGACTGAAACCTCCTTTGTGTCGTGGTCCCCCTCGGACATAGCAGTGACGACCTCTTCGGACACCTCGCACTGCTCGTCAGACTTCCGTTTCTCTTCTGGCTTTTTGGAGGGATCCACCACTACGGTGTCCTTGCTTGTGCTGCACCCCATGTTGTTCAGCAGCGATTGCCTTGAATCCTGTAAAGTCCAGTTCCACAGAAGAGCTGCAGCTCCAAGGTATGGGGACTGGTGGGTTAACCTTTACCTAAATACTCTTGGCTATTGTTGTGGCAGCACAGTCAAGGTTTCTATAACAACCTATTAAAACTTCCTACTACTTTCAATGCAAATGTGGTGCTTTAAAGCTCTTAAGTTTCAGTTTACATTTGTTACCAGCTATGCCCTATTGTAATCAGTTTGCTAAGCAACACTTGGGTGAGTTTTAACTTTTTGGTTTGTCATGGTGTGGTTTTAGCTATAGTTTTGACGTCTGTTTAACAAAGAAACAATGGTGACTGAGGTATAATCATTTGGAATGCTGTAATACGGTATGTACAGTACATAGGTATCCCAACAATCCAGTTATTTGGTATAATTATTATTTACGTCCATGAGTTTATAAATGTGCTCATTCTACATAAATACCAAAAGTATCATTCAAAATTAAATCAATGGGTTTGTAAAAAAAAGGTTTTGTAAAAAATCATTTGAAACATGCCTTACAGAATCAGTTTACCATCTTGGACAGTGTTTGGAAATATTTTGTCTGTTGCTGTGAAAAGATCTGTTTTATCTAAAAGACACCACTGTCTTTTAGATGGACTAACAGGAAGTTCAAGGAGAAAAACATCAAAAGTCTAAACATTTGCTACAATATCCATGACCACACCTGTTCAAACTAGTCTTAAAAAAAAAAAGGAAAATACTTAATGGTATAAAAGAATGTGTGTTTTTTTTTTTTTAACAGAGAAATACAATACAAATGTATCCTAAAAATAAGAGAATGAGCTATGTGCATTTCCAGGAGCATTTATACCAGAGGGTATAACAAGTATGTAACAAGTTCTGAAAGGGTCACAAGGCAGAGTGACCACTCAATCAATCCAAGGACCCAAACTACAGATGTTTAATTAAAAATTCACTGGCATGTCCAATCAGATTTGTGCAATAGGCATAAATTCCAGAATGCACTGCTTGCTTGATCGTGGTGTTAATTTAAACCTATACTTGATAAAGGTTTGCAACTGAGCTGGTATGGTAAAATTGGATCACAGTGCAAAAATGTTGAGCACTACTGACATTCTGAACAGAACACACAACCATGGGAAGGTACTGTAGTAGTCTTAACAACCGTTAGAGGGAGCACAGTAACCCATATTTTAAGAAACTGTTTCAAAGAAAGACTTGTTCTAATCTTGCCACATGAATCAAAATATTCAGTTTCATATCTTAGTATACCTAAATATTTGTGGCTTTGTTAGGCTTCTAGACCATTCCCATGAAGCAGTGGGAAAAAAGTGATATACAAAGAGCACAACTTACCAGTGTTTAGCAATGACTTTATGCTCTTTACTTCCCACTCATTTGGCAATAAGCCAACGAAAGTCATCACAACACTCTTGAGATGAGTGCTGACATACTCTGCACGTTCTGAAGGGAAGAAATGCTAAACGTACAGCGAAAGCTAAGAAAACAAAACAAGCTTTCAGTTAGCCTTTTTCTCAACAGATGTGCAGTGTGTGTGGTCTCAGTGGAACGTCGCTGTGTCTGGGTAGGGAACCAGCTCCAAGTCTTCATCAGTAAGATGTGTGGGCCAGTGATAGAGCAAGAGACTGCTGGCCCTCCCAGTTACAAGGGTATTTAAACTAATTAAAAACACTTTGGTGAAGAAGCAGCAGTAAAATTTACTAACTGCACCTGACAGCTTGAAAATGCAATGAATGTTTTTTTAAAAATACCAGACAAAAGTAATCTTAGTATGTATCAAGGTGAAATTACCACTGTATGTGGCCAGTTTGAAACATTATAATAGCAATATAAAAAACAACCAATTTACCAGCTGACAATGGTCAAGGTAATGGACACATGTACACCTTTCAATAGGTCAAAGAGTTTAATAAAAATAATTTAACTTCCATTTCCTCTATAGAACTCCATACAAAGTAATTCAATAAATTACAAATGACTTTGAGACGCGCATCTCCTGCACTACATAAAGTACTACTAGACTACACAAATCACAGCCTTCATATACTGCAACTCTCCAAAAGAAAACTGGACTTGAAAATAACCTTCAAGATATCAAGCTTGGAACAAAAAGTCTATATACACAACAAAAGAAGCCACTGTAGCCTTCTCTGTAGTCTTTACACTAATCTTATGTCAACTCAAGTATTAGTGTGTATTTTTTCTTTTTTTTGTTGCATATTGGTCATTTTTTTCACTCCTTTATCATGACAGGTCTAAGACTGCTTTGTCCAGCACTTGCAATCTTCTATTTGAAAGAAGCATTTAAACTACCCAAATATCATCATGCACAAAATAATTGTGGTAATAATTGTATCCCCAAAGTACCTCAGGGAAAGTCCAAAATTTCTCTTGTTCTTTAACTGTCCTTAAGACCACTCGTGTTGTACAGTGTTTCTGAGAGCGCTGGGCTTGGTATCCTGGAAGTAGGTAATATTGGTTTTCAACCCAAGGGCGCGCCACACGGGACAGCAGAGACGTCACAGGCGAGCAGGCCAGACATGCGCCATTTTGCCTTATGAAGGCCGTGGGTGAATGGAAGGGGAGGGGGGGTGAGTTGAAAGGGGCGGGGGGGGGGGAACCCACAGGGACCAGGTCAAACTAGTGGCACTATGCTTGTGAGGTATACTGCATAGCCGTCTCCAAATGGACTTCAGCATACCAACTCTGGAAAAATAATCAAATAACCTTAATTGATAAGTTTGCCAAGGGCATCTGATGAGCCATGTCAGCAAAACTTTAATTAGCTCAAATAAAGTGGTCTATTTTTCTTAAAAATAATAAAATTCTAAAATTGCCCCTCAATACTGATATATACCCACCTTAAAATCCACGACGTGTCAGACCAAGTTTCCTTTTTTTAAGCAGTGAACACGTGACAAAGTACACAGCTTGTCGTTTCCAACAGAAAGGCCCCCCCATCACCAAAAGGTAACATCACGCACATAGAAACTTGACAGACAGACCACATATGCAACTCCCACATGTTTAACAGCTGTGAGGGATGAGTTAGGTTACACACACAGTGTAAGGCAATGCGCAGACGTACCCACTACATTGTTCGTAAGGGCAATAATCAGCCAGAAGAGCTGCATGTATGTGTATATCACATAAATTAAAATGAAAAAAAATAAAAATCCAACACAATATACATACCTGGAACTTATATGTTACGGTTAAGGCATAAATAAGTATTTAACACAGTGGTGGATTAACACATAATTCCTAGAAAAATAAATGCACAGCTGGAAGGTGTTGGAAAAATATATTGAAGTATATCTATCCAAAGAGGAACAGGTACAAGGCATAGGCAGGAGCTCTGGTGGCACTGCAGAAGCAAGGCGACCGGAAAAGGTGATTGGTGCGTCTGCAAGGCCCCAGAGCAGTCCGGCTCCAGAAAGGCCAGCTCACCTTAAACAGGGAACTGCCAAGTGGATGCGGGTTAAGCAGGGGGAACATGCTGACCGTCATCTACACGCCTGCTTCGTGCATGTTCTGCTGTACAGGCAGAAAAAAAAATACTGAAATCTAATTACCATCCTGTGCTTTTCCACAACCCCCCCCCCCCCCCCCCCCCCCCGAAGATGCCAGTTTTGACCAGTTGTCTGTCAGCTGTGGTTTCACACGCCGAACCCCCCCTACAGAGCACGTGTGACCCCCATGCACATAGAGCAGCACACAAAAGGCACCAGACTGCTGACCCCTGACTTGAAATTTGGCAGTGTTTTCTTCTCAGGCTCTGCCACAGCTCTCAGACAGCAGGAAATTAAACCAATTATCTCTCCTGCAAACAGATTTTCGGTCGTTTTTTTTTTTTTTTTTTGGATAACAGAAATCCAGTGGAGAAACAGCAGGAGGACTGAGATGACCACGCCAGCAGACAGCTATAGCGACACACACAACACGGTGCCCTCCGAGTCACACGCTGTGAAATAAACTGCAAAGAACACTGCACCCATGACTCAGCTGAGGTTAGGGTCAGTGACAAGCTAACCACCTGCAACTCTGCTATGACGAATTCTTCTGAATGCAAAACAGGACCTGAAACAGGCAGCACAGCAAAATGGCAGCCAGACCCAGTCAACTATTAGCAGGAGTGACATATAGCAGTCATCTGCTTCCTGTCCGGTCTCCTGGCAGCCTCAGCAAAGGCCAATTCAAAGGCCGTGCTCTCTCATAGCTCCTGGGAGGAGATGACTGCATCGGGGAAAAAAATAACCTGGATGTTTGTGCAAATGCTACAAGTGCAACTAAGTTTAAGACGACCCACTGCTGAAGGGTTTGCGGGTTTCTACAGTCGTCCCACAACGGTGCACTAATGCACAGTCCTCCCGAATGCTTCGGCACGCCTGCCGGTCACGCAGCCACAGACGGGGCGGAGCTCCACAGTGAGGCGAGAGGGGAGGAGGACAGAGGCTGGTTAGGGTCTCAGCTTCCTGTGGCTTTGCCACCACACAGAAGGACGTGTGAGGCAAACAAAATCTACAGCTTTACAGACATCCATGAGCTGCCTAACTTATTGCTGATGCTCAGAAGACTTCGCTATTTACGAGGACATTCTAAAAAGTTTTTACAAAGTATTTACCCCCATATACATATATATGTACAGCTCATATTGAGAATTCATTTTCTCATTTAATAAAATGAATCTCAACATAATTAACAATACCTTTTTTATCACTGAAATACAGCTTCACACATTTCAATTTAATAGCGTAAAAGTAAATCCTCTTAAACAATATTGTACCTTTGAAGAAACACTGAAATCATTTCAGATGCCACGCTGTTCCTTCAGCTGGTTTTTTCCTTATAACATACTATTATTTCCATAATTTACAAAAAAAAAAAAATTCAGTGCATGAAAATCCATATATTACTTATATACTTAATTGTTAGGGAGGCACTGAGCTCAGTCTCCGTCGCTGGAGTCTGAATCTTCAGATGACGGCGAGCTTCCGGACTCCGACGAGGAATCTGATTTTCCAAATCGCTCCTCGCCACTTTTCTTCAGCTCTGAGGCCTGCTCTCCACACCCCTCCTTCTGGTTCCCTTCTCTTACCCCCTGCCCTCTTGCCTCAGGAGTCTCCTTGGGAGGGACGGCCGGGGAAGAAGGGACGCTGATGGAGTTTTGCTGCTGTCTCTCTAACAAGCCGGACTGCGCTACTGGGGACAGGGGGAGATTAAGGCTCGGAGGGAGCAGCATCCCTGGGTACAGCATGCTGGACAGCAGCAGCGGGTTAAGCGCTAGCAAGGAGCTGCTGGCAGAGGCGGCGCTTGGCGTGGCCACGGAGCTGCAGGGCTCCTGGTCCTGGCCCTTGGTCCTTTCGCCCTTGGGGTCGGAGGTGACAGGAGGGCCACTGGAGACCGAGGCGTCTCCATTGCCGCTCCCGCTTTCCTTTTTGCCATCCTCTGCACCAGTCGTCACCTCCTGCGACTTCCCTAGCAGGTTGCTCATGCCCAGAAGGTTCGAGAGCATCATGGGAAACATGGAAGCCAGGTTGCCAGTGTCTCCAGTAGCCGTCGCCAGGCCCCCCGGCAGACCCATGAGGCCGGCGCCTATCTGCAGGGCCTGTAGGCTCTGGAGGTTCTGCTGCAGGGCTTGTAAGCTGGACAGGTCCATGCCAGGGAGCAGCCCGTTGGCCAGCAGGGAGTTCCCGGGCAGGACAGGGGAGGCCGTGGCTGCCTTAGCCGCAGTGCTTTTGGGCCGCCTGCCACGGCGACTCACCTCCTCCGGAACTATGGGCCCGGTCAGGATGCGGTCAAACATGCGCTCTGGAAGGTAGCCCTAGGAAGATCAGAACAGGGGCTTCAGTGAGGAACTGGCTGGGAGAGGCTGGGAGAGGCTGGGAGAGGCTGGAGCACGGGGGCACAGAGGAACACTCACCGACTGCTTGACCAGATCGGCCCACTCTGGGGGTACCCCGTACTCGGGGTTCTCCTGAAGGAAGCGGCACAGGTCCTTCAGCGGGGGGGCCAGGGCACCACCCACCTGGGGAGGGGACAACACACAGAGGGTATCAAGCAGGGGCCGGGCAGAGGCGGTGGGCCGGGCGGAGGCAGAGTTCATGGGGGGGGGGGGGGGGGGGGG